ATACGAACTGCAGTCGGTTCAAGGCCGTAATTATGAATCAGCTGTGTTCCATGAATGCTGCAAGCTGTTTGGCATAAGAAAAACCAGAGCAATGCCACTTCACCCACAGTCTGATGGGATGGTAGAAAAGTACAACTGGACACTGGGACAGGAATTGGCAAAGTTTTGTAATAGCCACCAAGATAACAGGGATGTCTTACTCCCTCCACTGTTGATGGCCTATAGAACAGCAGAGCATGAAGCCACTGGATAAACTCCAGCAAAGCTGATGTTTGGTCGGAAACTTCGGTTGCCAGTGGACCTGATAACAGGACATCCACCTTATGAAGAGTTGCCTGTCAGAGTTCGTGAAAGTGTTATCAGAAAGTATGGATGATATTCACCATCAAGTGCATTCAAACTTGAAAACGTCTGCTGATTCCATGAATCTATGTTATAATAAGAGATCAACTGAAGTTAGCTTTGTACCAGGAGACAAGATGTGGTTGTATAATCCCAGGAAGACCAAAGGGAAGTCTCCTAAGTTGTCTTCTCCATGGAAAGACCCATATGACATAGTGGATCATCTCTCAAACGTGACTTTCCGGATAAAATGTGGTCGGCGAGTTAAGGTGGTGCATGCCAACAGGCTTTAGTGTTATCACGGTCCAGAACATTTCAGTTGGAATGAAGTGAACAACAGAACAAATGATGCTGCTGAAGACGTGTCACCTGAAAAAGCCACTGTTGAAGAAGAAACTCTACCTGGTTTTGAGAAGGAGAACAGTGAAGCCATTAATGAAGTTACTATCACTGATGTGACTGCTACCAATAATGGGTCATTTCCTGATGGAGCAGATGAACCCCACGTGAAGCAAAAGCCAATGAGAAGAGGACCAGTACGGAAGAAGAAACATCCTGTAAAATTAAGAGACTTTGTTGTATTTTAATTTTGGGTTTGTAAATTCTGTACATCTAATTAAGTTACTGTTAATTATCTATTGGTTTAATGTAAGTGGCTATTGTTCGGGACGAACAATACTAAGGAAGGGGCAGTATTACGACAGTAGAAGTAGCGTGATGCTGGGAGCATGCTCGCTGGAGTTTCTTGAAGAATCATGAATTTGCCCACCAGCTCGAGTGTGATCGGGACGCCTTCTTTTTCAATATATATAAGCCTGGCAAGAAAAACCAGCAGGATCGAAGAGAGAGATAGATAATTGAGTCAAGTGAACAGTAGGCACTGTAATTGTGTGAATCACTGTGATTTATAGCATGTTATAAAAGTAGGTAATTAAAAGCAATGAGGAACATATTGACTGCGGAAATTCTGTGTATTACTAAAAGTTTTATCGAGGAAGAATAAACTGGGTTAATGAAGAAAGGACTTGTATCGCTAAAGTTTCTCGGAAAGAATTTATACCGCAAATTAACAAACAAGCAGATACACAACAATATATATAGTTTGTAATGAACCAGAATAAGAAATAGTTATTTTAAACACTAACTACATAATCATATTTATATAACTTTCTCACCTTTGGGAAGAAACTTGGAAATTTTCTTTAAATGATTGCTCATTTCCCTTCATTAGAATGAAAAAGTAATTAGTTCAAACTTGTTTCATATGGAAAATAAAGACATATTATAGAACAATGTGAAATAAAAAAGGGAATTCAAAATGTGTAAATACATTTAAGATTAATTAAAAGAAAACACAAGTAGTATAATAAATGTTAGAAAACTACAACTGATTAATACAAGAATAATAAGAATTATTTTTTTTTTTATTTTGAGGGAGACATGAATCTCAAGTAGTACTACAGAATGTGTTTCCTTCAATGGCTTCTATATGTTAAAAACTACTAAACCACACATCCATATTGAATGCCTTAACTGCTGAACCAATATTATTTCTTTTAAGACAATAACAAATGGAGCATAACTAAATGCATTCATATGAGTTTTTAACAACCTTGATGAGTAAAATATGCAATTATCACTACCATGACCAATAACATGAAACTTTCAGTCAACAGAGAACAGTTCTAATTAAATTTTTTACGTGTATAGAAGTATAAACAGCTGTACCTAATATTCCAATATAAAACCTTGCTTGGAACATTATATGATGTTCATTTAAGTTCAGATGGCTGTTAAGTCTAGTATAAAGGTTGAAAGCTCACAATAAATAAACATTTTAATGTGATTTATAACATTCATTAACATAAGTTAAGAGTTTTAGGCATGCACAGTTACATGTTTGCAAGAACATCAACATTTAAGGTTTTTAGTATATGAATTCTGTTGTTAGCTTTTGGCATTTTTAAACTGGTAAATGGTTTATATTTCCTGAAAAATATTCTGGCTTTTTATTATTATGTTCTTTATGGTATTAGAGGCTTTCTAAGATGGGACATTATCTCACATTGTTTATGGAACACAAAAAGTTCTAAGCTAGAAAAAGTTAACCATACATAAGTTTAAAATACAAAAAGAAAAATTTCACTGATTTCAGTATTTTTCAAAAATTTCTATGTAATTCAACACATAAAATACTGAGAATTTTTCTATTTTAGGCTACAGTAATATTCTTACACATTCATGTAGATCAAGTCAAATATCTGAGTTAAACAGCAAGAACAGACTCATTCTTTATGCTAAAGTAAACTGACTTAAATATTTGGGAATTCTTATAAATACTACCCTTTAGGTTTAGTAACAAAATAAAATACATAATAGAAATAATATTTTTAATGAAAAATCAACTGGTACTCTTTAGCTTACTTAAATTGATTATCCCTTGAAGATCTACTGAACTCAAAAATGTTTAAATCAACATTAAAGCAAACATTACAAGTCTTTTGTACACAAAAAATCATATTATTTAAGGAAGGGTTTTTATTGAATATTTATCTGTGAATATATTGAATCCTTTTTTTACTAGTTGAAGTGCAAAGTAATTTTCATGTTAAGATTAAAAATACCTTTCTTCACCTCAAAAATACATACTTTTTTTTTCAATAAAACTTATCTGTTATTACCTTTATCCTAATGACAAATCATCAAAGTATAATGAAAAGTTGTAAACTCAGAAATAAAATGAGCAGCTGTGTCCTTTATTCTCCTGAGTGGAGGGTGAAGAGATATTAATTTTTGTAGGCTTTAAATATACATTTTAAAAACCAAAAAATTTTCAGATTACTATATTAGAATACACAAAACCCCTG